GCAGGTGTTGAACCATCTTGAATCCCTAGAATAAATCCCACTTGATCATGGTGTATTATCTTCCTAATGTACTGTTGAGTTCAGTTGGCTATTATTTTGCTGAGCATTTTTGTATCTATTTCATCAGGAATGTTGTGTCTTTGTCAGGTTTTATTTCAGGGTAATGCTGGCCTCATAAAATGAGTTTCAAAGTATTCCCTCCTCTTCTACTTTTTGGAAGAGATTGAGAAGGATTAGTATTAATTCTTCTTTAAATATTTGGTAGAATTCACCAGTGAAATGATCTGGTCTGGGACTTCTCTTTGTTGGATTTTTGACTACTGATTCAATCTCCTTAATAACTGGACTATGCAGATTTTCTATTCACAATTCAGTTTTGGTAGATTGTATGTCTAGGATTTTACCCATTTTTTCTGGGTTGTCCACTTTATTGGCAAATAATTGTTCCTATTAGTCTCTTATGATCCTCAGTATTTGTGTGTTGTTAGTTGTAAGTCTCTTCTTCTTCTTCTTTTTTAAGTTCCAAAAAGGCTTTATTACTTAGAGGGGAGGGATTCAGTCCTTCTTGGCTGCCATTTCTCTCATAGCTGCCAGGACGTTGCTCAGCTCCTCTCTCTTCCTCTTGGCATGGATGTATGTTCCCACCCTTTTCTTGATGAACTTGAGGCACGCTTATCCTTGGAGACCTTGAGCAGCTCCACAGGATGCCACTTGTATGTGGTGATGCCATGCACCTCTTGGATCATGGTCCACACAAACTTGATGTGCTTGGTGAGGCACCTGCAGTAGGAGCTGTGCCTCAGGTTGGTCACATTCACTTTGTGGACCTTGTTGAGGCCCATGGCCATAAGGTAGCATGGAGCCATGGCTGCTGCTCTTCAATAACTCCCCTGGAGGGACAGCTTCCTCTTTCATTTCTAATTTTATTTGCCCTCTCCCTTTTATCTTGGAATGAGTAGCTAAAGTTTTGTCTATTTTAACTTTTCAAAAAAACAGCTTAGTTTCATTGATCTTTTCTATTGTTTTTGTTTTGTTTTGTTTTTTTAAGTAGGCTCCATGGCTAGGATGGATCCCGGTGTGGGGCTTGAACTCATGACCCTGAGATCAAGATCCATGCTGATATCAAGAGTCAGAAACTTAACCAACTGAGCCACCCAGGTGCCCCTCTATTATCTTTTAAGAATCTATTTCCTTTATTTCCACTCTGATCTTTATTTCTTTCCTTCTACTAACTTTGGGCATAATTTGTTTTTTCTAGTTAAGATATAAAGTCAGGTTGTTTGAAATCTTTTTTCTTAATGTAGGCATTTGTTGCTATAAACTTCTCTCTTAGAACTGCTTTTGCTACATCCCTTAAGTTTTGGTATGTTGTATTTCCATTTTGATTTGTCTCAAGGTATTTTTTATTTCTTTTGATTTCTTCTTTGACCCATTGCTCATTCAGTTGCATGTTTAATCTCCACATATTTGTGAATTTTCCAGTTTTCTTCTTTTCACTGATTTCTAGTTTCACACCACTGTGGTCAGTAAAGATGCTTGACAGATTTCAGTCTTCTTAAATTTATTGACTTGTTTTGTGGCCTAATGTATGACTTCTCCTGGAGAATGTTCTGTGTGCACTTGAGAACACTGTGTATTCTGCTACTGTTGGATGGAAGGTTCTGTAGTTATCTATTAAGTCCATCTGGTCTAAAATGTCATTTAAGTCCAATTATTGAGTTCTGTCTAGATGATGTATACAGTGTTGAAAAATAGGGTATTGAAGTCCCTGCTATTATTATATTGCTGCATATTTTACTCTATAGGTGGGTTAATATTTGTTTCATATATTTAGGTGCTATGTTGGGTGTGTAAATATTTATAAATTATTTTCTCTTGGTGGATTGACCCTTTTATCATTATATAATAACCTTCTCTGTCCCTTATTACAGTCTTTGGCTTTAAGTCTATTTTGTCTAATAGAAATACACCTACTCCTGCTTTCTAGTTTCCATTTGCATGGAATATCTCTTTCCATCTCTTCACTTGCAGTCTGTGTGTGTCCTTAAAGCTGAAGTATCTTATAGCTACATATAGTTTGGTGTTTTTAAATCCACTCAGCGAGGGGCACCTGCGTGGCTCAGTTGGTTAAGTGACTGCCTTCGGCTCAGGTCATGATCCTGGAGTCCCAGGATCGAGTCCCGCATCAGGCTCCCTGCTAGACAGGGAGTCTGCTTCTCCCTCTGACCCTCCCCCGTCTCATGCACTCTATCTCATTCTCTCTCTCAAATAAATAAATAAAATCTTTAAAAAAAAAAATACCCTTTAAAAAAAAAAAATCCACTCAGCGACTCTTTGGATTAGAGAATTCAGTCCATTTAAAATAATGGTTAATAAAATGGCAATAGTAAATCTATGTCTAATTGTCTTCCTTTCTCTTTCTCTTTTGTGTATTTACTGTAAGTTTTTGCATTGAGGTTATCATGAAACTTACATAAAACTTTTAAACTAACAACTTTCCAAGTGCCCACTAAAAGCTGTTCCCATTGTTTTCAGTGTCACAAATTACATATTTTTACCTTGTATATCCAGTAACAAATTGTAGTTATAGCTATTTTTAGTACTTTTGTCTTTTGACCTTCATACTAGATTTATAAGTGATTTACCCACCATTACATTAGCGTGTTCTGAATTTATATATTTACCCTTACCAGTGAGATTTATACTTTCATATGTTTTCCTCTTACTAATTAGCATCCTTTCATTTCAGCTTGAAGGATTCCCCTGGACATTTCATATAAGACTGGTCTAGTGGTGATGAACTCCTTCAGCTTTTGCTTGTCTGGAAAACTCTCTTCTTCAGTCCTGAAGAACTTTGCCAGGTAGCGTATTCTTGATTGCCAATTTTTTTCTTTCAGCACTTTGACTACATCATCCCATTTTTCTGGCCTACAGAGTTTCTGCTGAAAAATCTGCCGATAGTATTATGGGTTTCTCTTGTACATAGCCATTTGTTTTTCTCTTGCTACTCTTAAGATTCTCTGATCTTTAACTTTTGGCAATTTAATTATGTGTCTTGGTGTGGATATGTTTGGATTCATCTTATTTGGTATTCTCTTGGCTTCCTGGTTGGGGAAGAATTCAGCCATTATTTCTTTGAATAAGCTTTCTGCCCCTTTCTCTTTTCCTTCAAGGAGCCCTATAATGCAAATACTGATCGGCTTGACGGTATCCCATAATTCCTTTAAGCTATCTTCACTCTCTCTTTTCTTTTTGGTCCTCTGATTGGATGAATTCCACTGTCATCTTTGAATCTGCTGATCCTTTCACACAATCTAGTCTGTCATTGAAACACTCTATTGAATTTTTCAGTTTATTATTTTCCAGGTTTATGATTTGTTTGGTATTTGCTTATATTTTCTGTATCTGTGTTGAAATTCTTACTTTGCTCATGCATTATTCTTCTGACTTTGGTGAAAATCTTTATTATTTTGAACTCTTTATCAGGTCACCTATCTCCATATAATTAAGGTTTATTTCTCAAGTTTTATCTTCTGTATTCCTCTGTTTAATCATTCTTCTCAACACTTTGTTGATTTCTGTGCATTATGTAAAACAGCCACTTCTCCCAGTCTTGACAGAGTGGTCTTATTTAGATGAAACTTGTCATTGAGTCTGCTGAGTTCTTGGTTCTCTCTCAAACCTTTGTGACTATCCAAGCCACCTTCTTTGTTCTTAGTGTCTGCCACCAGTTGAGGGTCTGCCAAAACCTGTCAGTGTTCCAAATGGGAGGAGGATCTGTCAGTACCTAGAAGCAGGCTGATTGGAAGCTGGACTTTACGTAAACAGACTTCTTTCGGGGAAAGACTGGGAGATGGGTGTTTCTGCTTGCTGTCTCTGTGCTGAGCCCTGAATGGTTTGTTGGCTACAGTCCTGAGGGACCCACAAACACAAGCTCTGCTGGCCACCAGAGCCAGGCAGTCGAGGGGTGCATTCCCTGGGTAGCAGCCACAAAAGCCAGGGCACAAGACATGCATAAAGTTCTTCCAGGGAGACACCAGTGATCTGGAATGTGCCAGAAGGAAAATGCAGATATGGCTCCCTTCTGCCTCCCCAGGCTCCATGGAGTATCACAGTCAGTCTCTAGATGTGTGCTAAATTAGAAGCCTCGGCCTCAGGTTGCAGCTTTTAAGATATGCAAATAGGCATCCATTAGCTAGTACTTATTGTTAGCTAACTTACTGTTGTTAGCTAATGGTTATATTCACTGTATCTACATAATAAAACAAGTGGTTAAGTCACTTGTTAGGTCGGTGCATAATTAAACAGTGTTGATAGGATTTAGGGATGACCTCAGTTTACCTTCAGATGCTGTACTCCAGTTTTAGCTTCGACTATCCAGTCTACAAATGTCTACCATCTTCAAAATGTTAAAGACAGGACTCAGCAATTCCACTCTTAGTATATATCCAAGAGAATGGAAAACATGGCCACATAAAAGCTTGTACATACATGTTTACAGCTGTATTATTCATAATAGCCAAAAAATGGAAAGAACCTAAATATCCATCAGCTGATGGATATCCATAAACAAATGTGGTATATCTCCACACAACTGAATAATATTTGACCATAAAAAGGAATGAAGTACTGATACATGCTACATCATAAATGAACCCTGAAAACAGGCTAAGAAAAAGCCAGACACAAAAGGCCACACATTGTATGATTCCATTTATATGAAATGTCCATAATAGTCCAAATCCATAGAGAGAGGAAGTAGATTAGTGTTTGCCAGGAGCTGAGGGGAAAGGTGGTGAGGAATGATTGCTAATGAGTATAGAGTTCATTTTAGGGATGATGAAATGTTCTGAAATTAGTGGGGAGGGCTGTACAACACTGTATATTTAAAAGGGTGAATTCTATGGTATGTGATTTCTATCTTAATGCTGTTACTTAAAAATAAAAAGTCAACATGATTTCCTTTTTTTTTAAGATTTTATTTTTAAGCAATCTCTACACCCAATGTGGGGCTAGAACTCATGACCCTGAGATCAAGAGTCACATGCTCTACCGACTGAGCCAGGCACTACATGATTTCCTATTTCTCAAATGCTCAAGGTCAATTGATGCAACTTTTAAATGAGCATGAAAGAAAGGTACACATTATTTAGCTAAAAAGAATCTTGATACTGTTAGTATATATAATGGCTTAGAATAGTTTTATATCATATTCTGATCAATAATGGATTAGATACTTTAGCCTTATCTGGGAAAAAATACAAGTATAGGTAGCTACAGTCTGGAAAGAATTACTATGGGCTATAATTCTTTTAAAAAAAGAAGTATTTGTTCTCAGCAATATGAAAAACTTATAAGGAACTGACCCATAGATGACAACAGGTCTGACAACATGAGACAAAGGTTTACACGGATATACATATTTTTTTTTAATTTACAGCACATGGTAACCCAGAACAAAGAGTTTTTATATTCTAGTTCAGTCTCCTCTCTAGGTACTTTCTAAATGGTATTTTTGTGATGATTGTTCTCCCTTTAGAAACCATCGGTGTTCCTCCTAGCGTGAGCTGGAGACCATCATAGATGACAAAAGGCATTTTCTATCCCTAGCCGCTTGTTCCCTGCACCAGGGACAACACTGCAAAACATAAGCTGGCACACATGGAATTTCTTTTAAATCAAAATAATCCAGTCTAGCCCTTCATTCTTTGATTGCCACTCTGTTTGTGCTTTACAGTGCATGAACTGAGAACCATATTCTGTTGCCTGCAACATGCTCCAAACCACGTCAATGCCACAGTGACTATGTTCGCATGATTGCTCAGAGCTTAAAAAGAGAAACAGAACACCAAGTTTCTTGCAAAATGGAAGACGATAACTCAGTTTTCAAGGTCTTTGGCTAAAGTTTCACAGATGAATTGTAAGGTGCGCTGGTATAAAAAAGCATCCTTTTTCTTTGGCTTACAAATGTTCAAATGGTCAACGTCCACAGGAATTAGATCTCCAATGCCTAAATCTGAAGAAAACAAAAATATCAATAAAATCTAAATAAAAATCTAGATGTCCCCTGTCAATACTGAAAGAAGATGTATGGATAGTTCTAAATGGTGATTTGGTTGTGATAAGGGACTCTAAAAAGATACAGGAACTGGAAGTTTGACCACAGCTAAACTACATGTGACTAATCACACGAGAATGGATTCTCAGTAGGTCTAATTTTAAGCTTTTCATAAATTCTTTGTATGTAATCTGGCCTACTTCCTAATAGTGAACAGAACCTGAGCAGTATCATCATCAAAACCTTTATACACATGCATGTTACTACTACATTATTCCACACTTTTTAACCACCTCTTTTTCTAGAGTTTATATTATTATACTTCATAATGAGCTCCCCTGTCCTGATGACAAGAATGGGAATGTCTCACATAGGATCCATTCTTCACTCTTTAGTGCTTGAGAGATCTAGTTGAGTTTCTGATGTTTCAGCCTAACAAAGTGCACCTAGATGGAAGTGACAAGAGGTCCTGGTGAGGACTGCCAGGTAAGGAATGTAGGTGGTGGTTATGAAGGAAGGCAAACCTCCTCATGACCCCCAAAGCTCTGTAGCGACAAACAGGTGGCCCACAGTATTACCTTTACTTTTGCTTCAAGCTTCCAAAGTCCTTTTTTTAAGTTCTACAACTACTAAATAATAACTCCTTACTGTACAGCGTATTACTTTGTGGTAAAGCCTTTTTAGGTTCTACTACAGAGTATTTAATACATAATGGAGTTAGGACAAAACTTGTTATACAGGCTGAAGAACCATCTGGCAGGCACTCCAGATTCCCACTGTCCCTGGGAGCTCTCAGTATGGCCGAGTGCCACTAAGACAGCACCTAATCCTGCCTCAGAGGTCATCAGGTTGGCCAGGTGAGAGAAAAGCATTTCAAGGAGGGAAATGTGTGGGTTATCTACTATTACTATTACTGAGTTAATACAGGAGTCAATAAAGAGAATTAAGATTTGGGCCCTACCTCAAAGAGCCTATATTACATTATAACACACCACAGTAAAAGGTATTGGTTATTCCCTTCAACCCCAGGATTATAAAAGAAATTGTTGCTTGAATATCCCCCATCTAAGATTCCAATGGAAAAAAATGTTTAAAAAAATCTTTCATTTGTTAAAGCTTTCACACCTTTAGCTGCACAGAGAAAGCTTTAACAAATCAATTATCAGTCTGTTAAATGCTCCTTTCGTTGTAGCTGATAGAACGTCTTTGAATTCTTAATACAACAGAGCTCAAGGAGGCAGCCAATTAACCTCTGCCAGCTAAATGAAGGGAAGGAGGAGTAATGCCAAGGTTGTATGTTGGCAGAGAAATTTTAATCTATAGCTGAAAAGAATAATAGAATCTAGATCTTCATACAAACTGTCTCCTAAAACTGAGAAGCTTGAATATAAAAATGGGTTGTTTATGATTAAATATAGGTACCACCAACCAGGCATCTAACAGCAAACAAATTTCAAAAGAAGGAGTACCTGCTGATTCCACGGGCACCACATGCAGTTTAATCATGCTACCAATGTAAGTTGGCAGTGTTTCTACAAAATTCAGCACCTGAAAATTTTTGTCTTTAGCAAACTCCAGAAAATCATCTTGTAGTGTTTTAAGTGCAGGAGAATCTGTAAAATTCCAGAAAACAAGACTGTGACAAATTCTGTTTACCCAATTTATAATAAAATGTACTAAAGAGAAAATCAGGGTTCTGGTTCAAGATAATAACTTGTTTATTTTCTCTCCTTCCTATGAAGTCATTAAGATGAGAGTAGAGCTAAAGCCACAGCAGAACTGATAGAGGCCAGCAGGCCGAGGGAGAGGCTTCACATGTTACTGGTTGACCATAAGCATGCGGGGCAATGTGGTATGTGGGACTGGGGTCCCTCAGTGTGCTGGCTGGAACCTTCACCCTAAAGCACAGCCTCCCATCGACAAGAACTGTCTATAATCACAGAGGGCCTGCCCCCCATCCTCAACTAGGAAAAGGCAACCAAGACATACCAGACCCTAGAGGATAGCTTACAACCTAAAAGAGACCCAGTGAGCAAACAAAACACCTGGGCACAGAAGACACAGAACTCAGTGAAGAAACAAAAAGGAACTTTAAGAAAAAACTCTAATTAGTATTGTTAGAATGAATCAGAGAACAAGAAAGAGCTTCTGGAAAATAAAACTTGACTGCAAAAAATAAAGTTCAATAGAAGGTTTAGAATATAAAGTTAAGTAACTCTCCATAAAGCAGAAGAAAGAGAAAATATGAACAAAAAGACAACTAGCATATTAAAGGCTCAGCCAGGGCCTCCAAATTGATTAACAGGCATTCCAGCAACTGAGAAAATGTTTATTAATCAAAATAAGTATGTTATAATTAATATCCTGAAACTCTTAAGTCTGTTTATATTTTAACAGTTGATTTTCCAAACTCATGGAAAACAGTTCATTGGTAATTTGGAATAATCCTTAAAACATGACATAACTTAAAATTTTAAATATTTAAGGGCGCTTGGGTGGCTCAGATGGTTCAGCGTCTGCCTTCGGCTCAGGTCATGATCCCAGGGTCCTGGGATCGAGTCCCACATCGGGCTCCCTGCTCCTTGGGAGCCTGCTTCTCCCTCTGCCTCTCTCTCTCTCTCTGTCTCTCATGAATAAATAAATAAAATCTTTAAAAAAAAAATTTTTTTTAAATATTTAAGACAGTATTAAAATTGTATCTGAGGATACCTTTGATACCTTAAGGAAAGGTATCAAAGAAAAATCAAGCCCAAACTAAAAATTTTCCATGATAGTCTAAACACAATTTGTATATAAATAATAAAATGGGATAATATAGCCAAGTTAGAAACCGTCTTCTTTTCTCCTTCTCCTGTATAACTGATATTAATACAATCCCAATTCCCCTTCATGACAGAACATAAATATTACCCTTGCTGAGTTCTTTGACTTCCAAAGAGGGAAAAAGAAGATAGCGAACATTAACAGAGTATTCAGCCAGATGGGATCCATGATGAGGAACGCTATAAAAAATTATTCCTCTGGTATTGTTTATAACAGTACTCATTTCTGGCTTCTTAGAGGCTTCCAGCAGCATCTTTTTGACAAGAAGACCTAGCCATACAAAGAAAAACAATGCATAAGCTCTTTTTCTTCCCTCCATTATTCTAAAACAAAAGGAGGTGGGGAACAACACAAAAAGAGATGTTTTCTTTAAAGTTTAAATAATTCTCTAGAGTCCAACACACAGGGCCTTAAAATACTAGCACTTGGTAATACTGCTGACCTAGAATCCAGCGGACCCTTGAAGAGCATGGTTTCAATGGTATGGATGCACTTATACACATGATGGATTTCATACAGTACTATTAATGTATCTTACGATTTTCTTTACATTTTCTTTATTGTAAGAATACATACAGAATACATATACAAAACATATTAATTGAGGTCAGTAAAGCTTCTGGTCGACAGTAGGCTATTAGTAGCTAAGTTTTTGGGGAGTCAAAAGTTATAGGCAGATTTCTGACTGCACAGGGAAGTCAGTGTCCCTAATCCCCATGCTGTTTCAGGGTCAACTGTATATAATACAAGCCTACAAACAGGTAAGATTCTAGAAATCTAGAAATCTAGAAATCTCTTCTAGAATCTAGAAATCTCACCCTAGACAGATCTTTTATCATAGAATACACTATCTCCTAGAAGGAGTACTAGGCATTGCTATGTTGGGTGTCCATCAATGAAGTAAATATGCAGCACCATGTGTCCCTATCCTGTCCCCAGTGGCCCACTAATGACCACAACATTAGGACAGTACTAATATTCAAAAAAGACAGAGCCCCATAAAGCTTATCCACCATGGAAAACAAAGTTTCTGTAGGAAAATGCACCTAGGAAGGCCCCATCTCTTCCATCTCCCCACCCTGGGCTTGAAGCTGATAATACAACACAGAGGTCACTTATATGGTTGGTAACCATGGATCTCTGTGGACACAAAGGGCTACATCCACCTCTCTCTCAGCAAAGAGCCCCACCTCAGAGTTTGCAATCCCGAGCGTTTCATCAGATAAACTAGGCCAGAGGCTGTAGCAAGGCCCTCTCCAAGGCGGATGGTAACATCTCTTGTGAGAATGGGCTGGGGAGTGGGCCGAGAGGAGCAGATGACACTTAGCAAGCACACACCAGGACCCAAAAAGCAGACATCTGCCATCACACCTCCCCCTCAGCAGGCTTGGGGCTGTGGGCTCTGCAATGCTTGGGGATGCAGGGAAGAAAGGAGAGCACAGGGACCAGCCAGGAATGTTGAGGGATATTCACCAGGCAGGCTTATATGAGCCATGGACTGCTTCTGATGTTCACTGATTATCGCTATATGAAAGCATTACGTTGCCAACCACATGTTCCTTTGATATGGTTTGTTACTAGTGGTCCCCTTGTAGAAAAACAATTAGGATGGAAGGAAAGTAGTCATTTAAAAACTCTTAGCTATAGCCAAAAACATTAATTTAGAGGGAAAAGGGGCCAGTATTAAGTGAAACAGGGAGCTGTGGTAACAGGTGAGCCCCACTAGCTGACAATAACCTCACAGTGCTGGCTTCACAAAAGTGAAACATACTTACCTCCCATGCTATGTGAAACCCAAATGACTGGCCTATCCCCAACACCAGCCGCTCTGAGCTTCCTTAGAAGTTCGTTGCTCCTGAATGCAATGGACTTTCTGAACAAAATGAAAACAGCAGGCATTATATGAGGCTATTGATTCTGCACCTCCCCCCCCACAATTTTACTATCCAAGTTTTTAAGGCAAGAACTTTCATTGGGCCAATACTACATACTATATTTTGGAGTCAGGAATACCCCTACTCTGTTTGATTTCTACAATTGCTCATTCCCCGTTTCTAACTTAGTCACAGTGGCATAACTGGGAATATCTAGGCCCAGAACAAGCCATTCACTTACTAAACAAGCAGGGTTTGAGCATCTATTACGCATCTGGCAATTTTTACAAGCTGGATCTCACACCGACTGCCCCGACCACTTAGGATGTGTGTTCTTGTCATGATGTGGCCTGAAAATAATGCTGCATTGTCTGCTGTGAGCTCACCTACATGGTAAGCTGCAATTCTACTTAGTTCTACTTGTACTTATGCTGCAAACATTAAACTTTCATCATTTTGGTTTATTTAGAAATACCAGAAAGCTCTTAGAATCAGAAAATTCAAAGTAATTTTCAGGCTAAAAGGGAAAGTCAAAATGATCTACTCTGGTAGTTTCAAACTGTTTATCTATAAAATCCTTTCCTTGCAATAAAGGTTTGTCAGAGCTCCTCTTGGTGCAATGGGGAAGGACCCCAGAGCTCCTGCCCCCTGGCACCTACGCGGAGGCCGTTCAGAGACAACGCTCAGCTTAGTACCAGTGATTCCGACCAACGCTCTCAACTTGCAGACCAAGCTTCCCAGACAAGTTAGATGACCTGAGACCACACAGTGGGTCACAGGCAGAATCGGCTACCATCCAGGTCCCAGAGCCCAGAGGTCCAGTGCTCCTCTTCCTGTATACACAATCAGCATGTATGACATGCAAGTGACGGAGGTAGCCTACATTGCTCAGCATCTTTTCCTTTGCTTCCTGTAGCCAATACACTTGCGAACACAGAAGCAAAAAGCCTCACGTTTACTTCTGGGAGTAAAGGAGATTCTGCTGTAGAATCCGTGGTCCTTACTAATAGAATAATTATAAATGAACCACTTCAGGAACCCAACACTGACACTAGATCCAAGCCTTACACTAGTTCACTGTTTATATATTACTAACTCCTTCTAGAAGGAAGAGAAAAAAGGTTTTTCATAAAAAAATTCTGTCTGTGGCATCAAAAGATAAAGCTCCCCTCAATCCCTGAGGGTCGTGGACCCTGGCCCTTCCTCCCAGTCCACAGTGTCCCCTCTGTTACCTCTCCATAGGACACCTCGTTCTCCAGTCGCTAAGGCTGGTGTCATACTCCACAGATATAATTCGGAGAGCAGGACAGTCTCTTGCCAACCATGTCTACACAAAATGTAAGGTACAAAAGAACATACATGAATTTCCACTGCTCCCGTTGTTTGCTAGTGATTGACACCTGTAACTAAAGGCCACTGATACGGACAACTATAACACATTGCATGAGAAGAAAGTTAAAAGGTGACTAGAAAACCGGTTCTGGCATTTTATTTTTTTATGTCTCTGGTCACAAGGAGGCATCAATATTTTTAGCATAAAGCCAATGCGAGTTTCAAGAGAATATTCTCAGTTTTAATGTGTTATATAGCCAAAAGCAAGGAGTTTTTGGAGTCCAAATCAAATTGCCTTTTAGAAAGCATTTAATAGAAAGTTATGATCTCAGGACAGATGGCACCATCTGACGGCTGAAGATTTGAGCGGAGAACGCAGAGATGCTAACCACAGCCACGGTTCCGTCTGTGGACCCAGGACCGATAGCCCTCTCCATATGTCAGTGTTGCCAGAGACAAAGTGCAAACCATTCTTTCTGCACGATAGCCTCCGTGAAGGTGAAGAAGCTACGGTGGGACAAAGCCCTGGAAACTACAGGCATAGATAGCCATCTTCGCCGAGCTTTGGGTACATTGCGTGCAGTGCGTTCATCCCAGAGTTAAGGCTCTTAGAAGAAATATCACCAAGGAAATCCAAAGTAGAATTATCTTATAATAGAAATACTATGAATATCTCTTCAAAGTATTTCTATTTTTATAATTATTAAAATCACAGAACTAGCAATGTATTATTTGTTGTATTTTTAATAGGAGTGAACGAATATCGGTCCTTGCCAGTTTTTTACTCAATGAACAATTCTTTCAGAGTTCTAGCCCACACCCTAACCAGAAATGACACAACAGAAGGCAGGGTGACGAGTCCAGCTGTTCATGAACATACTACAAGTGTCTCTAATGGACAGAAAAACTGCATGGTAGAAAAATCCCAGGAAAAAGAGAAAAATAAGCAAATCAGAATGCGGGCTTCAATAGCCAGAGACACAACTGTGCGTCATGAAGAGGGTGGCCTACCAGAGGTAGCCCTTCCTTACCTTGGGCCAACACGTGGTATACCTGGCTTCATCCTCTAAAATCTTGTCAGTTAAAACCTGCTCGCTGTCCTGCTGGCGCCACGTTTTGAATGCTGCTCCCATAAGGCCATGAATAAAAAGGACATCTGCTTTAATGGGCTGACTGATGGGGGAGAGAGTTTTAAAAAGAAGCAGAATAAAGGCATTACTGCTTTGGTAAGAGTCTACCTACTACTCTGTGGTTGGTGCTCAGCAAGTGTACATACAGGAAATAAAACGATGAAGGCAAGCTGTGTAAGCACAGGTATGGCAGACATACATGGAGTGTGCTCACTGCTCTCTCTACAAGAATGGAGACACAGCTAGCCCTAGCCAGCTAGACCAACCAAAGTCAACTGTAGTGAGTTTAATAACCAATGAAGTGACATGTCATAGACTGCCCTCCAAAGAATTTCATAAGAATATTCCACAAATCAATAAAGTATTTAAGAAATTAAATAAGAATATGCTAGTGTAGTTTCAAATTGAGCATGCATGGAAGATTTTTATAAACTTACCAAGGAAATAAATGTTTATCAGAAATGAGATTTTAGGGTCCCCTGGGTGGCTCAGTCAGTTAAGGGTCTGACTTGATTTCGGCTCCGGTCATGATCTCAGGGTTGAGGGATTAAGCCCCGTGTAGGGCTCCATGCTCAGCAGGAAGTCTGCTTGAAATTCTCTGCCCCACCCCCACCCCACTCACTCACACTCTCAAA